GGTGGCACTCGCGTCGCGGGCACACAGTGAATGAACAGGCGTCGGGGCGGTCTTGCAGACACTTTCTGCAAAACACGTGCTCCGGTTTCAGACAAGTTGTGCACGTAACGCGGCCACCGACAATGAGCGCGGCGCAGACGTCGCATTTTCGAGTCCACATCTCGGGGCACCGGGTCGTCGGTGGTCGTGACAAACGATCGGACGCGGGCCAGTGCCGCCGTGCGCGTCTCCGATGGTGTCGCACCGAGCGCACAGAGGAAGAGAAGCGACACGTACTTTTTGTCTGGATGCGAGTCGACAATGTGTGCATAGTAGGGCATGGCGGCGTCGTAATCCAAGTCGAGAAAATACGCCACTGCTAAATTGACCCGCACTAGACAATATTGAATGGTGGCATCCAAGAACCGCATGGATCAATAGACGGTACCGTCGCGAAGCTGGTCGGCCAGCTGCTGGGACTGCGTAGCGCGGGATGCGAGCGAGCGTTCGAGCGGAAGGAGCTGCGCGGCAGCGTCGCGGGTCTGGCCGGCCATGATATGAAGAATCGCGGCATTCATCTTGTGAACTATTGTGTCGGGGTTGTCGGCTCCGAGAATGCGCTCGCTCGTCTCGACAAGCCGTTGCTGCAGCGGCAGAGCCTTGAGCTGCTGGCCCGAGTACGTGAACGCGCCGGCGAGGTACGATGTTGTCTGTGTCGTCTCCGAGTGGTCAACACCAAAGTGAGCTTCCAGCACCGGCAAGGACTTTTGCAGCCAGCGGGCCGCAACTCGAAGAGCGCCGAGCTTGAAGTGGCACATGCCAATCTTGTTCATGGTCCCCGCCGTGTGCCAGTCGCGGATGCCGTACTGATGCCGCCAAATGTCGTAGAGGTCCATGTGAACCGCCAAGGCCGCGACGTCGTCGTTGTTCCAGCTGAGCGCCAGCGCGTAGCTCGACCGTGCATGCAGCGTCACGTTGTGTGTCGCCCCAAGATGCTCGGTGGCATCGCGGATCGTCGAAAGACTCAACGGTTCCCACTCGCGTCGAGGCTTGCGCTGGTACGCTATGGCATACGCCAGCGTCGCCTGCGTCTGGAGCGTATCATAGTCGAATGGACCCCGGTACTCTGCAAACAAGGCGACCGCGCGCCGAAAGCAGCGCTCGCCTTCGGCGTGGTCGACTTCATTTTGGTAGATGATGCCGAGTTGGAGCCACCGCGCTGCCTTGGCGACAGGCGTTGGCGTCGATGCGATCGAGGCCTCGAGCGCCGTCTTGATCCAGCTGGATAAAGTCGAAAAGATGAGCCGATCAACCGCGATGAACGACGTCTCGGCGCGAATGAGCCCAAAAATACCGTCGCGGTCACTTGGGACGGTTGCCTCCGAGTTTTCGCTCTTGATCGTCGCCAGCATCTTGTCGAATGCGTCGTACGAGCAATGTCGTTGAGAAACGTGGCTTCTTGATCTCGCGCCAGTGCAATCTCAAAGCGCGCGCCCATGGTCACGGCCACGTAGACCTCAAAGACGCACCAGCTTCGCCGAAGCACGATCGGGTCGTTCCACGGATGCATGATCATGACCACGTTGCCGATGGCTGCGAGACCATTCTTGAACGTTGTCGACCAGTACTCGAACGGGTACGAGCTCGCGAGGTGCTGGTTGTTGTTGAAGACGCAAAACCAAATGACAGCGTCGTCGGCGAGACCGCGGTCGGCGAAGAAGCGCTCGAGGCTGTCGACAGTCTCCAAGAAGAGGTACTGCCAGGCGTGCGAAACATACCAGTTGGCTGGTGAGACGTAATCGGCGGTCGTTGGGTCGTTGGCGACGTGGTCGACGAGCGAGAGCTCGGTTGGCTTGGTCATTGGCACGACAAACTCAAAGCAGACTTGGGCTGTCGTCTTGCCAGCAAAGCTAGACTCGCCGCCGTGGCTGTTGATAAAGTGGCGCAGGTACGAGAGGCGGACGCCGCGGTCGGGCGATGGCATGGCGAGGACGGAAAGTGCCAAGTGCGTGGCTGGGTGTGCGCTGATTACTGCTTCAAGGAATGTATGTCAAAGGGATCTGTCACGTGATGTCGATCTTTTTCAAGAGAATACATATTGGGTTGACACGACGCAGCTTATTAGCAATGGGACCAATTCGATTTGAATGCGATGACAATATTGTACGTCGCCGCGCTTCTTTGCGTTCAAGGAAAGACCTGGTGGAAGGATGCGTCCATGAGAACGTGTCTTGATACCCCCAATAAATAATACACCCAATCCATAAACCTCTGAATATCGATACTTGCGAATCACAGGCCTTGTCGCTGGCACTGCATTGTCGCTTCTTGAGCGGTGCTAGCACTGTACGACAATCGCCGAACACATTGGCTCGTCAACTAAAAAAGCCGAATCGCAACCTCGAAACGCTGGATCGCTAGATAAATACACTCGGTACGCGGTCCATGAACGGAAGGGCTCAGTCTTAAGTTAATAGCCCATGCACGGATAACATTGATAACCACAATTTGTCCCGAACGTGCAAGTGCCTCTACAATGCACTGCAGGACGACGTCGAGATCATACATGACGCAGATCATTGCATTAGATCATGGGGTGCCATCCTCGACTTAACGACGGAATGGACGAAATTCATTTAGCATAGTTTTATCTATTGTAATAGACGACCCACTTCAACAACAACGACGGAATGGACGTCCGTGAGCGTCGCTCCGAACCTTGAGCAAATCACAGTACGCCGTATACGCGGAGTAGTTAGCGTCCGTGTCGTCGTAGGACATGTTGTCCATCATCATCTAGTCGACTTCGAACAAGAACCGGCGGGGTGGCGTCACCGTCTCGTACACGGACGCACTTGGATCGTGCTTGCAAAACGACTGAACGCGAGCCGACTGCTGCTGTACACACGCACTGCAGAAGAAGAAGAGTGTCTTGGGACACATTCGACACATGCTGCGGCAGCCGACGATCGGCTTGCAGCACGCTGTGCACGTCTCGCACCACGTCTCGGGCGCCGGATCGTTCGTCGAGAGGACAAAGATGCGAACGCGGGCGAGGGCGTCCTTGCGTAGACTGGCCAATGTGGGCAGGTCGACGGCAAAGTGGTAGAGCAACCGACGGAGGTGACTCCACCTCAGCTGGGAGCCGCGGTTCACGCCGACGTCGACGTAGCTCACGCGGTTGCTCGAGTTGAGCGACGACGCCGGCTGCAGTAGCGAGACGACTTTGGTCCATTGCGTCGATGTGCGCTGGTTCTGGTGTACCATGCGCCGCTTGTTGTTGTTGAACTTGATGATTGTCAACCGAAAGATCGAGGCATATTCGTCCTTGGAGACGAGGCAAATGGTTTTGCACACGGACTGTCGGTCCTTGCACGTAGAGTAGTAGTAGTAGACAGAGGCGGCCACAACAT